CATGAGCATTACTTGAAGTCATGTCTCTGAGAAAATCATGAATGTATTTCCAATGTTCCACTATGTGTGAGTTGCTAACTTTCTGTGTCTGCTGTTTGATGCTGGGCCTATGGTGAGTTTATATGATGGTTTTTAAACGCGGAAAAGGCAGCTGGAGACAGAGAGTGAACCAAACACTGAAGTCGCCAGCTGGAAAACCAAAGCAATGAGCCCAAGGAAGCCTCAAAGTCACTCACCTTATATTTCCACATACTTCATAATGCTGGCTTTTAACATGTTGGGTGTAGGGGGTCACCTACAGTACATGTGGCTGAAGGAAGTTCAGCACCACAGTCTACTGTATATTGAGGTATATTGATAGGATTTTATCCTCTACATTTAATCGATAATTTGGAGATTAATGTATTAACTGAATCTCACATGCTAAATAAAGCTGAACAGCCTTTAAAGGGGTCTTTATCTTTCCAATCAATTGGATTTCCTTGATGTAATAAAGTGTTGCAACATGAACAGAGCTGAGGCTGCTTTCTCTCCGTTCGTGTCTGATCTCTGGCGTGGTAATTGAGGTCATTTGTCTGACAATAGGAAAGTTGTATCACAACCAAGTGCAGGGAAGAAGTGCTATTAATCACCTCGACTGCGACATGGCATGGTGGTTAAAAACACACTGCACACAGACTGACCACGGTTAATGAGCTATGGCCCCGTCTCTACAAACATGGCGGATACAGCAATGACAATCAATGCCGAGTGTTGTCCGAGTACAAATATCTGTGTGTGGGCGGGTGTGTTTTGCCTTAAAGTTTCTGGGTCATTAGGAAACAACTGGTGTAAGTCTTCAATTAACTTTACAGACCGTGGCGTACTATGTGCTTCTTCCACCTACTGAGATCCGGTCTGCTGATTTTAATTCACACTGGATGCACAACTGCCACAACATATCAACGTTCCCCAGGATGTTTTTATCGATTTTGGATTAAAGGGAAAATCTTCGCTCAAGGAGTGACTGTTTTATGTAACTGTGTAATTTTTGTATTCATGATGATTCACAAAAGCAGATCCCAAAGTATTAGATTTTGTAAATTAGATTTTGCTCATCATATAAACCACCTTGAAGCTTTCCCATGACACACATAAGGTGAATGGAAATGTTTCTCTCTTGATGCAATACAAAACATCCTGTGCAGTACTGAAAAACATACCATATTCATTTTATATATCCTAATCAACCATATACATAAATAAGCCTTTACACTGCAGGTGCAGAAAATGATCGGCCCGGCTTCACACTGAATATGGAAGTCGTCGGATATTTGGAGCAAAGGGCGAGGACATGGATCATCAAACTCTCCTGTGAGCTCATTACTCCCTCCAAAAGGCCAGGACGTTTCCATGAAGCCAGGAAGAGATTAAGAAAGATGACTCTGATTTCGAGTTTTTGCCAATGGAATCTATTTCCTTTCCTCGAAACGAATGGTCCTGAGCCAGGCTGAGACTAGCTTTTATTGAATCATCTGAAACCTTCACAGGCCAATGTAATCACCTTGCTCTCTTTGTCAGGAAAATACATTCTGGATAGATCTCGCACTACTTCAGACAATCAGATTTCCAATGTTTTTATCGTGGGGGCTGATAAAAACAGGAATGTTGACCTCCTGTTACTGTAACCTGGTCTATAGCGAAGGTAGAAATAGTTGTAAATGGGAATGTAATTAAATACAAAAGTATAACAAAGATCCTGAGACATTTGAGAAAGGCAATTATTTTTTCTTTTTACATGTCCACATTTGTCTAATTTAGTGAAACAAGTCTATTATTTTCCATTAAAGGAGGGGTAGGTAATTCACTTCAGAAACACTTTTTGTTATATTCCATGGAATGCTCTTAACATCCCGATAGCAATGAATACATTAAATGCTTTGACAATAAATACATAAAAACATTTCATCTGTGGAAGCCGTGGCTGCCTGCCTGTCAGCCTTCCATCTCGTGCACAAACTTATCTCGTGCCCTCATTGGTCATGTGCGTGTTTGTGTGTGTTGGAGGAGGGGCTTTGTAAGGAAGTCTGAAGGAAGGGACAGATTTTTTTTGGCTGCATACTTTCAAATTCTAGCGCACTCGAGCTGGTTTCTCTATTCTTACCTACCCTACCTTTAACTTTCTAGAAATTCAACTTAATGTCTTAATATATAATTATATATAATATATATATGCTTGCCCGTTCACAATTAATACATTTCTGCATGTTCAGCTAACATGCTATTCCCTGGATAAAAAAAAAGTGACACAAGCAGTTCATTGAAAATCATAAATTGGAAGAAAATGGACTGAACCCCTTTTCTCTATTTTCTCTCACATTATGTCAAATTAATGGGTATTGATTACGATTGTATTAATGTTAAAATAGTCTACACACGTCCGTATAACACAAGTTGTGTGATCTGTAAATGTATCGTATCTAACTGTTATCTTCCCCCTGGACATTGAAGTTGAAGGCTACAGTAGAAACAGATCAACAGTAAAATCAGGAAATTGTAACCATAACATTAAATATTTAAGCAAATTTCGTTACCCATGTTTTATTTCGGATGAGTTAACAAAACGCAGACACGCTGCTCATCAATATTACGAATGTTAAAATAAAGTCAAATAACAGGGTGTATGCAGGAATCCTGAAGTCAAATGTAATACCTTTTAAGACCTTTTTTAAGACCCTTTCCATACATTTTAAGACCTCATCGCCACTTTGAGTTTGAACCGGTTACATTGGCGACACACTTTACCTCACATTTACTATATACAGTGTTGATTGTCCTTCCTCCTTATCTTCCAACCATTTGGACGCAAACTTGCATTTCCCCATAACGATGTTGTTCAACAACCGGCGTAAACGGACGTTCGCGCTATCAAGCAGTGAGCGTGCGATGTCCTGTTCAGATGACGTCAAATCCAACGGGATGCCATAAATAAACTACACAGAATCACACTACACACCTACGCAATGATGACATTCAGGCAGACTGTAGAATACAACCTCTTTGGACAATTTATATACTTATTGAAAACAAGCTACAAAATGTAATACCTTGGAAAATACTTTTTAATAGCCTTAATTTTCGCTAAATTGATTTATCAACTTTTAATACTTTTTAACACCATGAATAAACAACAATATAGATACTATAAGTAAAAACACATATAGTTTAGGATGGCAGGAACTCTTTTCAGTACACTATCACCAATCAAAACAAGAAAAGAAAACTTAGAATGATGCAGAAAAAATAACAATTATTGTGTACAAGAACAAAGCTTAGAAGTGTGGCATTTTTTGATTGTGTTGAAATATTAACAATGTGTGCAACCAGTGTGTCAGAGACGTCTCAAAATGAAGGGTAATGCACTTTTCATGAGGGTGGGGAAACTCAGTCATCTAATGCCATATGTCAGCGCGGAGGTAACTGGGAGCTAGCGGTGGCGCGCAGCATGGGTGTCCTTGCACTAAGTAATGGAAGGGAAGAAGAGTGGCAGAGGCAAACAAAGAGCACAACAGCTGTCAGTTTGGAGCTTTTGAGTTGAAACGGCGGGGAGAGAAGTACAATGTCTTACTTCTGCTGATAAAACAAGGACATGTAACAGAAAGACTGATGGCTGACACAAAGAGCAAAGACGCTGCTTCTTTGATTGTTCACTTTAGTAGAAGTGGTTCAAGTCCTTCTGGAGAGTGCTTGTATAGTTTACTGTAATTGCTTGAGATAGAACAATGGTGATTATGGTGCCAAGACAAACTCAACAGAATTACAACACACACTCTCTTTTAGTGTGAGTAGTGCCATTGGCTGTAATGTATTTAACATCATGAAGACAATGCCTGGATACCAGTCAAATACTTTGTTACTGTACTATAAATGTTTCTGGTATCAGTAATTTACTTCACTACTTATTTTTCTGACAACTTTTTACTTGTACTTCTTACATTTTTAACACAAATACCTGTACTTTCTACTTCTTATATTTTCAAAACAGGCTCGTTATTTTAGTTTTAATCTGCGTTTGGTGGCGTGATCATTATTATTTAGAGTCATTGCGTGCCTATTGATTTTAACACAATCCATGTATCCATCATTTCCTGGTCTTCTCTAAAGAAGAGGGACCAATGAAAACTTCCTCATCTTGCCGTTGTTCAGCATGGAAACATTCATTAGCTAACAATTACATTATTGTTTTATTAATATAAAGGGAGGTCAGTTACTCTTTAAAACAATTGGTAGTCATGGGTACTTTTTACTTAAGTACATTTCGAAGCCCATACTTCTTTACTTTTACTTGAGTAAAGAAGTTTAGTCAGAACTTCTACTTTTACCAGAGTATTTTTAAACACAAGTATCTGTACTTCTACTTGAGTAAAGGATGTGTGTACTTTTGCCATCTCTGCTCATGGCATCCGTCGTACAATTAAGTCCAAACAGAAGCAGCTGTACATGAACCTTGAAAATCAAGCATCTTTGTATTGCTACAGGTGTGTTGAAAATCAGCCATCATTCAAATCCACCATGTCCTGTAAAAGCTCCGCCAAAGCGATCTACAAGAAGTATTTCCGTTTAGAATGCAGACCAAAAACCGAATAGTTGAAACCATTGTTTGGATGGCCACACACACATAGGAATTCATGAAAGACTGCCACCCTGGGAACCCAGTCAAATCTCTTCACAACAGGGTACAACCAAAAATAAAGGGAATGTAATAGGGGCTTTGTAAAAAATAGTTCCCATGTGATGATTTCTCCAGGCATGAATTTATTAAATTATTGAAGTATCCTCAAGAGCCCTGCCAATTCTAGAATTTTAACATAATAATCCAGAACACCCTACACCCACACACACTGCAAGAATCGACTGTGTTCCTTATATATTATACACAGTCACAAACCTCACCCTTGATGCTCAGGCCAAAACAATTATGCTCCATTTTTTATAAATATCATTCCTTGTGTGTGTCCTACCTTTACTGATGTCCTGGTACTCGAGCCACAGCTGTCTCTGGACCTGTTTGTTGGGGTACCAGATGGTGCAGGACTCCTGGAAGCCGTACACCGCCTCCTGAACATAATGGTTCCCAAACTCCCTGAGGATGGAGACAAAGTCGCTCCGCTGCGTTGCCCCGTCCAGAGAATGGATGGCTGAGCTGAAAGCTGGGTAGAACAAAAAAAGGTATCCAAATGAGAAACACAAAATATAACCGAATGCAAAGATATATGCATTTTGTTTACTCAGCTGTATCTGGCACACAAATGCCTCTTTTCAAGATGTAAGGGTTTTATCACCAAGGGCAATAAAGCTGTTGAGCCTCACAGGATCTTCATGGATCATATATAAATGCAGCTGAGACCTTGGGATGGACTATTGGTAACCCTGAGTATAACTACTCTGCACAACAGAATAGGATTTCCAGCCCTGTGATTCCTACTGTTCATATCCTGCAATATGCTTATTAGGGGTGGGGGAAATAATCGATACAGCATAGTATCGCAATATTTTGCGTGGTGATATTGTATTGATACACGGACGGCAAGTATTGATATTTTATTATATAAACTGTAGCATATCCCTCCGAAAGATGGTCGTACACTTGACTGATGATTTCTAATTTATTGAAAACTCAAAAAACCAACGTAAAGCTATACGACACAAAACAACAAATACATTCAAGCTACATCCATATGAGCATTACTTTAGAATACCATTAAACAAGTGAACTTCAAATAGTTAATAAAGTTATAATACAGTATATAAATAAATTAAGACACAAAGCACATTTAGTATATGGTTAACACTAATATTGTGCCTCTCCGGGGGGTGCTAATACATAATTAGCATATCGTAGAATTGCAATACTATCGTATCGAGGCTTAAGTATTGCGATGGTATCGTATCGTGGGGAGCCTGGTGATTCCCACCCCTAACGCCTATTCTCATCTTTAGTTATCATTTTAGTTGCCTAATTATTATTAGTTATCCATTTAAATGTACTTGAGATAAGAAAAGAAGAAGCCTAGAATGTGTAATAAAGGCTGTCAGACAAATGTCTTGCAGGAGATATAGGATACATTATTGTATGATATGAGGGATGAGGTAGCAATGGGATTACTTTGAGCTAGTATGACCAAAACAATCAAGGAATTTGCATGACTATTTCAACCATCTATTTTAAAATGGAAATAAAGACATTTAAACTCTTTAATACTGCACTTCAATATTAAAAAGCTTAGTTTTTCCTGTTTTAATCCATGTTTGTCACACTTTTTAAAAGGCACATTTTAAATTTGCATACATTTGCTGTATTTGAATTACCAGCATGAGCAGTAGCAGTTTCGTCTGGTGTCTGGCACAAAGTGTCTTGAACAGGTTTAGTGGATATGTGAGCCCACTGCTTACTATTCATGAAACCTTTCAACCACACAGTGCGGATCTACAGTGACCACACACAGACCGGGAGCACAGGCTCACAAAAAACGAATTATTTTGTGTGTAATATAACATAGCCCAAACACTTTGAAGATGTTTCATAATGCCGGATGAAGGGTCAGAATCAGCATACCTGATGAAAACAGATGATAGCAAAATGTGTAGATAATACAGCTTGCAAGACTAGGCAACACAAATGTTGATCATCCCGTTGCAAACGTTGTACTGTAGCGTTGTCTTTATATTCATATCACCTTATTTTTCATACTCTGTCAGTTGATCTTCACTCATAGAAAAAGTGCATTTAAAGTTTGATGTCGATCACAACAAGAGTTACAGCTAATAATGGCCAGAGTAACGTGTGGTGCCAATATTGGGCTTTATATATAATTATATTTTAATATAAGATAGCCAAGTAAGGTACCATCAAAACCGTTGAGTTTATTGAATAGGGCATAGCACTTTCTTTCATACATAGTGACAAGGAAGCTAAGCGCACACCATTAGACACATGTCCATTAGACACATGTCCATTAGATACATGTCCATTCGACTCATTTCCATTAGACACTTGTCCATTAGACACATGTGCACTTCTACGTATGGTTGTCGGCCAACATGCCATCTGAATCCTTTTAGCCTGAGTCTGTTAGTGTTTATAATGGTATCTTGTACCAATGACATTCCCTGGTTGAAATGAAACTCTAGACCCATATTGCTAAGTTCAGTTATTGTTCATTGATTTCCTCTTTAGTTTCGTTGTGAAATGTTATAGTTGCCTTCAGACAGCAAATACATATCACACTGTCTCTATATTTGAAATTCTTACCATGTTTTTACTATAGTCGTAAGGAAGAAGAAGAAGATGGACCTTTATTGATCCCCGAGGGGGAAATTCAGTTTCTAAAACAAAACCCTACCCACTGTGAGTTGTATTGTGTGGATTTGCAATTGTTGTTTGAATGTTTTCCTTAAAAAAACAAAGGAATTCTCGCTTTCAATCACTGTATATTTATTTCTAAATAAGGTTAAGAATCCACTTGCATCACATACAGCCTAATCTCTGACTGGATATGACAACCCCATCGGCAGTAGTGTGGCAGGGGGATGTCACAACGACTCAAAGGTTAACGATTACTGTTTCCCTCTTTATTTAAACCAGGATAAGTGGTGGTAAAAACCTCGGGGTCAAGGATATTTTTATGGCTCATTTAGACAGAAAATCTCCCTTGGGGTTTTAATGTCCTAGCAGAGACCTAAACTGAAATGACAGCTTTTTTTTACCCACAATGGTGAAATAAAGCACTACTACTGCTGCATTCACATTATGCGCGGCAAAACAGCTCTGTGCTGACGTTACATTTCTATGGAGACGGAGGTGCCGCTAGTTTGATGTGAAACAAATCAGATGACAGCTGTACTGTATGTAGCAGCGCAAGCTACTGTAGCAGCGGATGTAACCATATCATTGAAACTAACTAGCTTTTTTCCCTGAAAGGCGCCCAACCTCGCGTTGAGCAAAGGGCAAATCCTGTATCAGCAACTATAGGGTAAGGTAATGGGTACATACTTGAAAACAAACAGGATAAACATCTCTCTAAGGTGGATTCAACTCACTATGCCACAGAAGTAAATCATGACATTTAGGAGAAAGTATGTTTGATATGTCACATTGACCATCATTTCGAAAATATGATCCTTTCTTAGTAAATAGTGGAAAACAAAAGTGCAATAGCAATTAATCATTATCATTTCCATGCAGTATTAATATCTCAGCAATCACGCTCTGCTTGTTTTTACTTCTCCTCCAAAATTAAATTAGGAGGCCAATGAAGTGAGAGACAGAAAGCGCTGTGAGGATGAGCGATGGGGGCTTCATTATCAGACGTAAAAAAAACAGTAGCATCAACCATTTGGTGGAATTATGATGAGCTAAAGTGGTAAATGGGAGTGAACAAATATATATATTCGGAGGGTGCCGAGTTGCTTCAGAGTGAAAACAGAAAGCATACATGGCAGCCACTTTCAAACCACAGCAGCACCATTGGAAATGCATTAGAGGTGTCATGGCTGTATTTACAGTAAGCTAGCGGCACTTATCAGAATGGAAACTATTGATGATGGATTTATGAATAATGCATGCACCTGAAACATGATAAAAATCCAAATTATCGGATGACACTTCCAGCCAGGCAGAATGAATAAATGTGATATTTCAACAGATTTTAACTTCACCCTTTACTTCACACTGCCAACAGGACAATGCAAGTTATCTAGGGAGGCAAATAAAAAAATAAAAAGGCGGATATATTTTTATAGAATAAAACATTTAGTACTGAGAAACCCGTGGGGAATAGTCAGTCAAATCCTCGATGTGTCAGCAACAAGGAGCGGCCTTCAGAAGAAGTGTTGCTTGACTAAATACCTATCCACAGTTATCTTATTCTGTGAAGTTTCCATGGCAGGCGCTGTCAGAACGTCTTGGTCTTGCCATGGATACAAAGCTTTGTGATAAATGAAAGACTATCAGAGGGACAGAGACAAAACAAGAGGAATGAAGTGACATACATGTCTCTGAATCAGAACTACTATCTATCTATCTGTGTTTATCTGTCATCATACGGGCATGCAGCAGTCACTTTATAACTCTAAACACGGCTCTATGACATAAACTAAACCGTTTTCAGCTTCTTTTACACACCAATCAACATATGAGGGATTAGGTATGCCGGTTGATAGACCCATTGTCCAAATATCGTTACAGATTAGTTGTATAATATGAAAAAAAGTCAGTGGCATATGAAAACTCTTCCAACAACTGCCACTATCACATACCTTCTTACATCTATTATACAATTTGTTTAGTAGTCTATTTCACATTAATCACAGGGAACTTCAATTCATTCAGGTACTGACACAAAATACTATGTTATTATTTGCTATGTGAAGTATAAACATAACTATATAGCACCCCATTACAATGCCATGGGTTTAGCTGCTCCCTTAAACAGAGACCCTTTCCTGTCATTACTGTAAGAAAACCATTTTTATGCAGTTTATTCACATTTTGTTTAGAAACATCCGTCTCCATTAGCACCCAGGGACTATGTGTGCTTCTGGATGTATCGTCTATTAAAACTATAATTAGTTATTATTCAATTAAGCAGTGAGTTTAAGCCGTAATACTAATAGTCAGAGGGCATTGTGTCTCACAGCACTCAGGGCCTCTTGTTTGCTTGTGCTTGTTGAGCAGCTTTCTTTTTTTATTCCGTGCCCTTTTGAAGTGACATTTCACTTATTTGCGATTAGAGGGAACTTGACCCTGGCCCATTTATTGCTTTTCAGGGTTTTCTCTAAGTACTGCCGTCGAGCAGCACCACCACAATCCAAAAATAATTGACTGTTTCCACAAGGGTTTAATTCAATTTAATGGACCCAACTCGAACCTTTTAGCAGCACATTACAACATTGCCTGCGGTGCGTCCTTTGGTGCTGGTCTTTATACAGGGTATATGCAGGAATCCTGAAGTCAAATGTAATACCTTTTAAGACCTTTTTTAAGACCCTTTCCATACGTTTTAAGACCTCATCGCCACTTCGAGTTTTAACCGGTTACATTGGCGACACTTTACCTCACATTTACTATATACAGTATTGATTGTCCTTCCTCTTTATCTTCCAACCATTTGGACGCAAACTTGCATTTCCCCATAACGATGTTGTTTAA